ACTGGGGGACATAATCTACTGGTTGCTGTGACTGGAGACATTATCTACTGGTTGCTGTGACTGGGAACGTTTTATCTACAACTTGCTGTGACTGGGGGCATAATCTACTGGTTGCTGTGACTGGGGACATTATCAACTGGTTGCTGTGACTGGGGCATAATCTACTGGTTGCTGTGACTGGGGACATTATCAACTGGTTGCTGTGACTTGGAACGTTATCTACTGGTTGCTGTGACTGGGGGCATAATAATCTACTTGTTGCTGTGACTGGGGACATTATCTACTGGTTGCTGTAACTGGGGACATTACCAACTGGTTGCTGTGACTTGGGACATTATATACTGGTTGCTGTGACTGGGGACAATATCTACTGGTTGCTGTGACTGAAGACATTATCTACTGGTTGCTGTAATTAGGGATGTTATCTACTGGTTGCTGTGACTGGGGACATTATCTACTGGTTGCTGTGACTGGGGACATTATCTACTGGTTGCTGTGACTGGGGACATTATCTACTGGTTGCTGTGACTGGGGACATTATCTACTGGTTGCTGTGACTGGGGACATTATCTACTGGTTGCTGTGACTGGGGACATTATCTACCGGTTGCTGTGACTGGGGACATTATCTACTGGGTGCTGTGACTTGGGATGTTATCTGAATGCTTGTAGCTTTGACAATAATAGGGATCAGAAGCGGACATATTATTTTCTGATTAAATGTTTAGTGTGATGAGCCATAGGGTCACATGAGGTAGTTTTAACACAGATATTTAAATGAATTTGATTCAAAGATTGATTTGGCATGATATTAACAACATGATATTGATGAAAAAAATAATATGTACATGTTTTAATAAAAATGTGCATGACTCTACATACTTTTAAGTAGACCCTAATAGGGGCTTATAGCAACAAGTAGATACATTTTGTTATCACTGCTACCAGAAGATAATGTCCCCTGTCAAAGCTACCAGTAAATAATGTTACGAAGTTCTCTTTAATGCTAATGTCAAGGTTGCCCAATCAAATTAGTTCTATCTACTTTAATTTACTAAATTCTGATGCATAATGACCAAAGTTTGGCCCTAAACATTATAACAAATAAAAGAAATGACCCAATAACCTTTACATGCCTGAAAGACCCACTTACCTAAAAATCCCTAAGCTTACAACATTTCTTCTATACCTGGTATATAATTAACTAGCATGCTACCCGGTAACAGTAAGTCACCTAACAAGAAACTATCAATTAGTATGAATAGTAACACACCAGGACACAGACTAATTCTCAAATCCAGACATGTATGGCTAGAGCCATGTTGAGACTGCCAATGAATTATTTGAAAAAAGAAAAAAAAATACAAATTTGATAAATAGATGTATAATGAAGAATATTATAAAACTAGAACTCCGCGAATCGGATGTGTCGCCTTGTGAACAATATAGTTTAGGAGAAATGGCCAGGACAAAAATGAAATATGAAAATCAACAAAGGGCAATAGCTCAAAAAATAAGAAATGCAGAGCAGCAGTTTCTGTGCACTGCACTTCTCATCAGTAAGATCTATCATCCTATTAAGTTTCAAGTCTATAGCATTTATAATTTATGAGAAATGGCCTGGACAAAAATAAAGTATGAAAATTAACAAAGGGCAATAACTCAAAAAATAAGAAATGCAGAGTACCTGTTCTTGAGCACTGCACTTTTTCTTAATGAGATCTATCATCCTATGAAGTTTCAAGTCCATAGCTTTTATACTTAAGGAGAAATGGCCTGGACAAAAATAAAGTATGAAAATTAACAAAGGGCAATAACTCAAAAAATAAGAAGTGCAGAGTACCGGTTCTTGTGCACTGCACTTCGGGTCATTATAAGATACATGCATACCAAGTTTGAAGTCAATCCGACTAATAATGACTGACTTATGCTACGGACAAGCTTAAGGGGACGCCAACACCGACAACGCCGCCGCCGACAAAAGTAACCCCTATATGTCGCCTTTTTCAAGGCGACACAAAAATTGGCTCCCAACAGTTTGCTTATATAATAAGTATAGTTTCCATAGTAAATCTAAGCAAAACCCTTACCACTGCCCTAATCATAGATTGCCAAAATTGTTTGGATACTTACATCTCATTAAAAAAAGCCGTTTATACCATAGCTTCTTGCTCAACCATACAGCCAGTGCAAACAAAGATCAGCATGCTGCATGATCATGCTCGGCACTGTATGCTATTTTGTCAGTACATTTTTTGAAATCTTCCCTAAAAATGGTGAATGGTTTTGTCTAGATTGAAAGATGGATGGTGGGTATATTTAAGATATTCAGTGTTAGTACTGGTCACTGGTAAAAGACTATACAGTTGATATTTTAACATATTATATAAGCATTGCACAACAAATCATACAGAATTATTCCAAAACCTATAACATTAAATACAATGTATTTCTATAACCAATGATCCAATAATACCCAACACAGGAAAGTTTAAATTCTATTTCTTAAACATTAATATTATACTACTTAAAATTTTTCTCAAAAAGTGCAAAAAAGTTCCTTTAAGGATGGTACAAATTGGTGATTTTTTTTCTGAAATTACATTACATCATGCTGTGAAGTCAATTGTGCGTATAAATCAGACTGTGCCTATAGATGCTGGTAAACTGTTAATCCATTTGTCAAAGCAATATGACCAAGTAGTAACTTGTTTTATAACAGATAAAGTCTAACACTATTTTTTTTAAGCATACTTAAAAAATTTTTTGGTCATGATTTTTGTTTATGTATCTTGTAAAATATACATTTTACTTTTATCTTTTTAAGTGTTATGTTTTCAGCTATGTTAAAAATAAAAGCAATATTTTAAACCAAAAAAGAAACACTACAACATGTACTATAAAAGGTAAAGGTAAAGGTCTTGTTTATTATAGTGTCACCCCTACTGAAAGGGCCAGCCATTTTGACTTATGAGACACCTTTTACTTGCATACCATGTACCTCCTGATTCCTACCACTATGCCAGGCGCCAGGCGGATAGAAATCGGTAACCATAATATGAGCTATTTTTTGTGCAAAACTTTTCTTTCAAGGCATTTCAGAAAGAGAAGAAAGGAAAACTTTGAAATTATGATTTAAAATGTGTCAAACATTAAAACAGTTTTAAATAGCTAAACTTCCCTGTCAGTATATTCAAGTAATCAAGACAGACTTTACCAAAACATAAAGCCTTTAAACATCATTACTAAAATACACTGTTAGTTACATGTAATTTGTTAAGTCATTTGTATTTACCATAAACTTAGTTTATGCCTTATAATCATTTTGACTATCATTACATGTATTTTACGTATTCACTGATGTACTGATGAATCCACCGTTAGAAGTGTTGAATTTTGTTTTTGTTTTAAAAAATAGAACAAATGAAAACAATATTCCAGAACAAAAAAACTGTTTCTTTAGTATAAATATATGCAAAGGCCCAAGACACAGAACCTGAGCAGTATATGTAAGTCTTATAATAAAAAATATGTAAGTGTCCATAAGACCCAGATGCTCCATAATTCCACTGTACAGTTGTCAGTTTACAGAAAAACAGGGTTACAGCAGGATACCTTGACTGACAGATGTACAAGCCTTCCTCAGACAAGGACAGATCTATATTTTGTCCCCCGCCCCTACTCCAACAAGAAGTTGGGCCATGAAAACCTTACAAAAACTTGGTGAGCAACTGAGATCACATTATGGTCTAAAAAAGCAAAAAAGTGATGGACATGCATTTACGCAGTGACAGATGTGCATTAGTGTGACACTTTTATAGAAAAAAATAAATTAAAACTAAAAAAAAATAAAAAGAAGAATGTTATTCACATCATTTATGAAATGATCATTATTATCTTTAATTATCATATAAATGTACATAAAAGAAATTAAAATGTTCCAAGTCTTTTATTCCCTTTATTTGCATTATTTTGAAGACCAATATTTGTAATCAATTATCACTTTTCTGTCACTTTTATTTGATATTTAAGAACATTTCAATCTGTTTTTTGATCATGTCAAGTTATTTTTAAGTAAATTAACATTGTATTACAACCATATAAATACCTATACACCGAGTAATAGAAGCAAAACTTAAAATGGATTGATAATCTTGTCTTTACTAATGAAATTTTGATTTGGTCAGCAACATTGGGGTCTATTAGCTTAAGGCCTTATCTCAGCCCCTTTAACAAGACCTGGACCATGTGCTTCCTGAAACTACAAGACATTAACAGAGGTACTTAATATTGGGACATATAATGGGGACATAGGCAATCTTCGATGTATTATGCGAGGATGCCATATATGCATGTGATAGTATTGCATGGCCACACAAAAGCTATCATGTGCACAGGTGATAGCTAGTACATGGTCACACCATAAGTTTTACATGGTCAAGCTTTATGCATTACATATGCACCTGACAGTATAATATGGCTATGCAATAGTTATTATGTACGCGTGTGTAAGTAAAGCATATTGCTCTGGCCGCATAATGTATAATGCATGTGCATATAATACTTGTTGTGCGGCCATGTATTATTATCCCATGATGCCCATGTACTAGCCATCACATGCACACATATATTTGAGCCGCGTCATGACAAAACCAACATAGTTGGTTTGCGACCAGCATGGATCCAGACCAGCCTGCGCATCCGCTCAGTCTGATCAGGATCCATGCTGTTCCCTATCAGTTTCTGTACTTGCTATAGGGTTTGTTAGCGAACAGCATTGATACTGATCAGACTGCATGGATGCGCAGGCTGGTCTGGATTCATGCTGGTCGCAAACCCATTATGTTGGTTTTGTCGTGATGCGGCTCATTTATAATGTCTATGGCTACGAATAGCTCTTGCACGTGCTTGTAGTAAATTAAAGATTTCCTATTTCCCCTTTACTGCTTTATGACACCGTAGCTTTTTAATTCAAAAGTATTAAACTTGTCATTGATATACCTGTCAAGTCTGTCCACCACACACAATCTCTCTCTGTACTTGACTCCACCTCCACATGACCTTGAACACTGTGTATAATCACCCCAAGGACTCCAGCTTGCTACAACAATTGAACATAGCTGAAAAGAAACACAACTCATTATGTAAACAATTCTTAACAGTTATAAAAGTTCAAGACATCAATTTTTAAAGGCAAGCAATCAGTGTTTATAGTAAAAAGATGTAAAATATACGAAAAATACCATTACTTTTAAAATATTCTTACATGTCAACCTTCTTCATTCAAATAACATAAATTTCAGACTCTTTAAGTTAATGTAGAAAAAGGTCATAAAGGAAAATTGGCAATCTCTTAGATTAGACCCCTATGTATATTTCATAAGTAAAATACACTAAAGAAAACAGAATGAATCAGGTCTATTCCAGAAAGTAGCTGCTTAGTTACAAAAAGAGCTTGGAAAGAAAATTGCAAACTGATACTTAGTCAAGGGCAATAACTGTATAAATCCATAAGCAAAAGCCCAGGTGCACAGCTTTACATGCTGATCAGCATTCCTATAAAGTTTATTGATGTTAGCTTAAGCACTTTTAGAGGAACACATGACATAACATTTTTTTAATGTTTTTACTATGTTAAGGGCAATTTAAATACTCTACAAATTTGAATAAATATACAAGCATACTCCAAGGTGAATGACTATATATGCTGACCAACACTTCTGTAAAGTTTAATGACTCTATGTCAAATATTTTACGGGCTCTGTGAGATACAAGTTGAAAATTGTAAAAAAAATTATCAAGGACAATAACTTAAAAAATTCTGAATAAATCCACAAGCAAACTACCAGGTAGGTAACTTCACATGCTGGCTTACATTCTTAAAAGCTTTCATGACTCCAGGTCAAATACACTTTGTACTTTTTTAGCTACGTGCCACACAAGTTTAAAATTGCACATTTTTATAAAGTCAAGGGTAGTAACTCTACAAATACTGATTGAATCAACAAGCAAACCCATAGGTAGGTAAATTTACATGCTGACCTACATTCCTGAAAGCTTTCATGACTCCAGGTCAAATACTTTTTTGGCTACATGCCACAAAAATTGAAAATGCAGCTATTTACTAAGTCAAGGGCAGTTACTCAATACTGAATAAATCCACAAGCAAACCCAAAGGTGCACAACTTCACATGCTGATAAGCATTTCTGTAAAGTGCAGGGCTCAAGCTAGGTTCAAAATTTAGGGAGAAGTCACTTCTCCCTTCAGCTGCTTTAGGGAGAAGTGGGGAGACTTTAGGGAGAAGTGAGGAGATTCATTTATCGATGTTTTTTGTATGTTATTGCAATTATGTTGACTCACTGTACATATCTTATTAAATGAATTGGATTTGTGTTACAACAGAATATTCAATTTTAATTTAAAAGTAGTTTGAAACAAGTAATAATAAGAATGAGTATCATGTAATGCAACCATTGCATTAAATGAAGATAAAAAAGCCATAGTTGATTCCTATCATGGATCATATCATGGGTGGATTAACAGTTATTCCCTTCTGATTTACTATTAAAAAGCTTGCGCCGGACATTATATTCATATTCACTTATGTTGTAAAGAAAATGAAAGTAGATAACGAAAGAAACGATCTTTAATTTAACTACATTTGTAATAAATACAGTGTAATACGCCGTCAATTTTATCAAATTTAACTCGTCGACAAAAAAAGGTTATCATAACTTTCATTTAAAATTACCGTTACAGTTATATGTCGAGCGGTCCTCTTAATTCTGACAATCATTCGATAGTGAAAATTTAATTGACGTTTGATCCGTCCATCATAAATAATTGTTACTGGTAGTTGTATGTTAGCGATTTAATGATTGGTTTAATAATGTCGCCTCGATTGAAACGTGAATTACGATTGGTTTCTCGCACGTATCGGTAATCTCGCCGTGGGCGGAGTCTAATTGTTCCTCGAGTGTCTGTTAATTAGACTTTTATGACATGTTGGTAAACAAACGGATTAATGACATACGCGTTGATTGAGATGCATGACAGTCCCTTTTTCCGGCGGCGAGGGTAAACAAAGCAGACACACATAACATGTTATTCACAGTTATTGTTGGTAATTTTCAATAATGGATCAATAAAATCGGGCGACTTCATCTTCGCTTTCATGTAGGATGTCGGCGAAGGCAGAAGGAATTCGGCGACTATTTCGCCCGAATCGCCCAGTAGCTCGAGCCCTGAAGTGTCATGTCTCCGGGTCAAACATTTTTTGTGCTATGCTTGATACAAGTTGAAAATTGCAATTTTGACTAAGTCAAGAGCAGTAACTCTACAAATGCTGAATAAATCCACAAACAAACCCCACGTTGCATAATTACACAGTCATGCTGACCAACATTCCCATTAATTTTCATGACTCTTTGTCAAATACTTATTGAGCTATCCGCAACAAGGGCAATAACTTTGACAAAACTGAATAAATCCACACCTGTAACCCAAGATGCACAACTTCACATACTGATCAACATTCCTGTAAAGTTTGACTCTAGCTCAAGCACTTTCAGAGCTTCATGTGACGCAAAATGAGGAAAAAACGAACGAGCACACGCAAACACGCACATTGCCGCGCGGACGGACAAGGGCAAATCGAAATGACCCTCCCCCGGCCCTACAGTGGGACCGTAAAAAAAGAGGCCAGTTGAGTCTGTTAATCTTACTACAACTCATTTTGATATGCAAACACTGCACATATGATAACCTATTTCGTTTTAATATATAGCCTTTTTCCAAACGGCCACGTGTAGTCATCTGGTCATTGCATGAACAACACGTGCGCGGCTCCTAATGCATGCCGGCACTAAATGCAAAGAATGTGAAAAAAATACATTACACATACATTTTCCTTGAACTAAAAAATCACAATAAAACAAGTAAGTTTGGCGTTCCCGTAAGTTTTAAATACAAATGCGCATAAAGCTTATTTGAGCCTCTTCAATGACTGCAAATGGCGTCAATTAAAACAAAGGGACGTAACACTGAAATAGAGATAAAAGGAGTCATAAAGTGCATGGCTATCGATATAGCACTAAATATCGATTTTCGATTTAATTCTGAGTATTTCTCCTCATTATTTTTTCAAATTTTCAAAGTACCCTAAAAAGTGATTCAAATTAAAGGCCTTTTGACCTCAGTGGAAAAGATTTATTTATTTATTTATTTATTTAATGCCTCTCGAAGTATCCACATAGATATCGATGTGACTGTTGTTGTTGTTGTTTGTTGTTGTTTCAAATGAGCATTTAAATGATTCCTTTTACATAAAATGTAACAATGTTGTTAAGAAAAAAACCTGAAAGTATATTTTTCAACAACGAATGTTGACTTGAAGCAAACGTAAAAACATCTCATGTCAAACACACAGAGTCCGAAAATGATTGAAACGGAAAATATGCTAATCTATTAAAATTTGTCACTTCCTACGTAAAGTGTATATCAAGCTGAGATTCCCAGGAAAAACTGTAGAAGATTTGTCCAATTTAATACAATTATCTTGTCTCCGTACACGTTAACTTTCGTGTCAAAGTCGCACAATAATTGGAAGCCGATTACAGGTGATCCTGACAGGAGGCCACATTATGTAACAGCCTTTATTTTGTCTGCATCAATTCGGTCGTGTCATTGGGTGCATGCATACGTAAATAATTTTCTTTTCTTTTTTTTTTTCTTTTTTTTTTTCATAATAAAAGTACATCTATATTACGTGGCGTCGGCCAAACTGTTCCAGTTACATTGGTTAATCGTTCTCCACTTATTACAGACAACTTCCCCACACGAATCTGTGGTGCTGCCTTCACTATCGTAAGCATCTTACCTACTTCAGATAGAGCTAGCCGATACGTTTGTTTAACAAAACGGTTACATAATAACAACTCATATATAGGCAATGTGTATTTGAAATCAATATTTACCAGGTGTTGTTAGTATAAGTCAGTTTATTTTTAACATTTCAATTATTTATTCTAGCTATCACAAGAATTCAGGATACTTTTCATCACGCCTTGTTGACGAAAAAAATGTTATGCAGTGTTATTGCGCACCCTTACCAATCAGTCATTCAAAACATATCCACAATAAGTCATACATGAGTCTACCACTATAACGTACCCCCAAGGAGTTTTACTACTAGATGTATTACAGAATATCCTAACTGTATATAGACTTTAACGTGACTTATAAACGCTACATGAAAATAACTTTAAACAATAGGTTTGATAAAACTATAGTTGTAAGTAAAAGAAACTTACCGAAAATAATAAAATAGTTGTTAAATTCCATTTGTTCACAAACACCGTCATTTCCTATGTATGTTCATGTATACCACAGTTGACCGAAATCCTGTAACGACAATTAACGCAATATAGGACTAACCAAAGATATAACCGAACAACAGTTCAATGGTCCTTAATCCATTCTAAACTTGAAAGTTTGTCCGATGATCAAGCAAGTATATATTAAAATAATGTTGTCATGACAAAATACAATAGTGTTAACTTTATAATAAAAATTCAGCAGCTTCAAATATGTCCAATTTTGCGTGGTGAAACTAATAAAAATCAATTAGCCTTTTTTTAAAGGAGGCAAACCTACACAGACACTGTCATTATTACTATTATTATTTCATTTGAAAGTTCACATTTTCACGCAATTTGACATAATTTCCTGCCTATTAAGTTTTATCTTTTAGATTATATCTTCAAAATGAAATACAAACGTAAAGGTTTTTTAGAGTTTGCAATACATTTTTAGTTTTTGAACATTTATTTTTTTAAATCATTGTTAATAACGTTTACAATTTTGGGATAAAGAGACCCTGATAGAGTACAGGAAACATTTCTTCCATCCACGTCATCCCACCCCCTCAAAAAAGTATGTAGTATTTAATAACTTTATATCTATGTTTAAACTAAAATAAATCATATATCATACTAAAATGATACTAATTTCATAATTAAAAAAAATAAGAAATTCAGTTTTTGTTAAAAATGCATATTAAATTGCATATAACCGCTAAAACATATCAACTAACAATATAAATAACAATATATATAAACATAGAATAAAATATCAACAACAACAACAAAGTGATACATATAGCATTGCACCAACCAGTTAAGCTAAAGCAAACTGTTTTAACCAAAGGAAAATTCCCCTGCAATGGTCCCAAGATACACAGAAAATGACCGTCTAACTCAGCTGGAACAAGTAAACAAAAAGAATGTAAAGATAATTATTCTAACCAAATCAGACATGCTTTAAAGATAATCGTAAGTGACAGGTCTCAAAAATCAAGTACCTAATATCCGATCTCAAACTAGTCCAGTTTATTGTATTACAGAAAATAAAGACACTCCAACATTTCAAGTTAAAGGACATTTGTTATTCAAGTATGGTTAAGGCCTGTGCCAAAGGCGAAGAGTTACTTCTGAAAAACAAAGACCCGTATTGTCATGCTAAAATTTCTTTGAAAATGGAAGCTATACCCCAGATGTGAAAATGCCTAGCGTTTCTTTATCAACAAGACATTTGTCTTCATTAATTCGTATGGTAATTAAACAGAAATAAGCCAGACGAAAATGGTCATTGAATGTTTGTTGGAGCAGTATTCGTCGGTTTTCAAAACATTTTATGACAACCATAATTTAAGCGTCTATTGATGCGGATGTTGTTAGCGAATTTGGCAAGAATTGAGGCAATTTTCTTATCAAAAATTAGACGTAACACAAAGGTTGCAGCGGATACAAGATTTAACGTCTGTATTTAGATTTCTATTACAAAAGCCTCAGACAGTGCTAATACAACACAATTAGTTAAGACCGTTTTCGCCTGTTTGTAACCAAAATGTCATGCACTTTTCACTGTTTAATCTTAACAGGGAATGAAATTAAAGTCGTGAGTGGGGACAAATTTAAAAAGCTAACTTTACTGAGCGATGGTAACTTAGGTTAAATGTATTAGCTTCTTTCCTAGAAGCTAGATTGAGTACAATGTACATTTGGTATAGATATTTTTACGCTGAAAAAAATGAAAACAAGGTTATATTGGTACGATATGAATTTGATATTGATATTTTGGACTCGAAGCTAAACTGATCAGATTGGTCCCAATAATGATTTCTATTGGAACATTACGTGGAGCAAACGCTGAAACATAATCCATTATTATTTTATAATGTGTAAAATAATAATGAAATAATAATTGTGCTGTTTTAAATATCAAAAATATTATAATCCCTAAAATACAAGAAGATTAGGACATGTGTATGAAAATCCTTTTATGTGCCATTTGTGAAATGGGGTGTCTTTTTGAAAACATGAATTAAACCCCAGCAGTGCTTGGGGAACATATAAGAATTAAATGAAATAAATAATAGGCCATGATGTTATAAGTAGGTCACAGTGATATGATATCATACCCCTTATATCGTTTTTCTCCCACTCGCTCCGAACAGATTGATTGTCAAAGAAGACGGTGATGACAAAATTCACACTTAGTCGTAACCGGAAACCGTTACAAAAACATTATTGCATCAAGGTATGGCGAAGGTATTAAGATCATATATCCCTGACACACCTATGGTCCATTGAAACCACGGTAAACATTTACGGAAAGAGGAATAGACAGTAGAAAGAAACTCGTCAATCATTTTACTGAAAAACAAATATATGAAAAGAGACAATTTAAGTTAATGAAAACGGGAGATGTTTTATATGGGTTACGGTTTTGATCTTATTAAGAAGTCAATAAACTTTCAAGCATTTTCGAGCCAGTATAAAAAAAGAAACTATCAGCACATTAAGGTTTTGAATAAAATAAGACTGTTTGCATTTAAACAAGAATGACCCATATCATATCTTCAAAAAGGTTTTAGTATGAGATGTGTTAGAGATCATTAAATGATATTGATGTTATCTCTTGACCTCGTTACAAATGTTTGAACCATGTGACATAAAAAAGTTTTTTTTTTTATATTTAATTGCAATAGTACGGTGTTTAAGTATTCCGTGAAACAGGTATACAATTTTAAAACAGAAAATAACAATAACTCCTTGGAATATTCATAATTCATTTTTTAATCTGTAATGTTAAAAGAAGTTATATTCTTGAATTGATTTGCTTGTTTAATATTTAGATATTTGCAATGTAATGTACAACCAGATTGCGAAACGCTGTTAAATTTGTGGTAAGCATTCTAATTCGTATACAAAAATGAATATAAAAATAAGCTCATTCAAAAGAATATAATGAGGAAACAGGTGAAGGTGAAATTAAGTTTTCATTTTGCCATTATTTCTTTCAATTTAATACTTTTCTTAGCATAAACGACAAATTACTCAATGGAAATTTCTGAAAATATCCGCCGGAATTTTACCTGCAACGTTCAGATAATATAAATAGTGGGACAGTCGTTTTATATTCACGCCCGTTTAACTCACAACGAGTGAAAAATGTCCATCGGTAAAAATGTTGTGAGCAACTTCCGTTCCTCGTTGTGAGCACCCATCTATGACGATTGACACGATAAACAAGGTGAGTTTTTCATAATTTTTGAAGATTACAGACATTTATGTAAAAATATCGAAATGCAGTTAGCTAGCGATGTGTTTTCCGAGTATGCACATGTAAAGATATTGCCTGTTGGTGGACAATTTGATGGAAATATCGTGCGACGCAGTCACTCGGGGTAGCTGGAAAACTGGAGACAACTTCTCTTTGGACCTAATTTAACATTGAAAACGTCGATTCTGGTGACGTTTTGTGCATTCTAACCTAAAACAGATGCCCACAAGTCTTCAGCGTAAATTATTATCTGAAAGTCTTCGTAGAAACGAAGAGATACTCTTTCTTGCTTTAATCCTCGTTGTGAGCACCATAACCTCGTTGTGAGCAAGACAAGCGCAGTGCTTGTCTGGTTTTAATATGTAATTCAAATGGCAAGAATACAATTTTCAATCTACCAAAAGCAATCAAAACGTTTTTGTACAATAGTTTTTCTTTGCAATAGTTCTTCTTTTTCTTTTTTTGAAAATTATTCTTCATATTCACAAGTCTTCAGATTAACAGAAGAACTAATCAGTGGAGGTAAATCAGGTATTTTATTTCGTATACTCTAGTGTTGCACGAGTGAACATCACGGGGTGTTTATGAATATTTCAACAATTTCACAATCTGTGTGATACACACATACATGTGTTTATCCTGAGCTGAAGACTGACCAAGTTATGTAAAACAAGAACTATCACGGTAAGTTGACAATGCCCCTGAAGTGGTGCTTTGTCCTTTGATTTATGGACCAGATAGATTATTTGTTTTTGGACAATTAGATCTTCAATGTGAAGGTAATTCAAGGTCAAGGTGAGATAAATATAGGTCAGTTGGAAGGTCTTGTCCAAAGGGGCATTGTGTCCAAATATGAATTAATTCCACTTATTTATAAAGAAGTTATGACCAATGTTAAAGTTTTTGGATGTTCTAGAAGGTCATTCACGGTACAAGGTAAAAAAAATACAGATCAGTTTGAAGGTCTTGCCTAAAGGGGTGTTGTTTCAAAATATGAGTAGAGTCCGTATACTAATAAGGAAGTTATGACCAATTTTTAAGTTTTTGGACAATTTGACCTTCAAGGTGAAGGTCATTCAGGGGTCAAGGTCAAAAGAATTCAGGATAGTTGAAAGGCCTTGTCCACAGATGTGTTGTGCCTAAACATTATGCCAGGACATTATGGCCAATCTTAAATGTTTTTGGACAATTTGACCTTCAAGGTAAAGGCCATTCAGGGGTCAAGGTAAAAAAATACAGGTCCGTAGGAAGGTGCTAAGAGATGTTGTGTTCAAATATGAATCAAAACCGTTTACTAATAAGGAAGTTATGGCCATTGTTTTCGGACAGATTGACGGACTGACAGACGGACAGTTCAAAACTAATATGCCTCCCTTTGGGGTATGCACAACGTCTTGCAAAGAAATGCTGCTGTGCAAAAACGTTTTAACTGCTGTGGTAGATTAAAAATTATATTTACACCATCTGAATTACATATTAAAACCATACACGCACTGCGCTTGTCTTGCTCACAACGAGGTTATGGTGCTCACAACGAGGATTAAAGCAAAAAAGGGTATATCTTCGTTTCTACGAAGACTTTCAGATAATAATTTACGCTGAAGACTTGTGGGCATCTGTTTTAGGTTAGAATGCACAAAACGTCACCAGAATCGACGTTTTCAATGTTAAATTAGGTCCAAAGAGAAGTTGTCTCCAGTTTTCCAGCTACGCCGAGTGACTGCGTCGCACGGTATTTCCATCAAATTGTCCACCAACAGGCAATATCTTTACATGTG